AATTAAATAATATCTACAAAATTTCCCCTCTCCTTTGGTTAGTCCTACAGACAATGCAGCAACAAAATTCCAAAAGGAACATATTGTGGCTATGAACAAGATTTGTGTCACTTTATGAAGATAATATAAATATTTGGAAGAAACTTTTTCCCAAACATAAATATATATATGAATTCTTCCCTATTTAAAAGTTTCTCTAAAAAGATTCAACAAGTACAGAGCTATTTAAAGCACCTAGTAGAAGGTAACCTTTGATGCAATTCTATGTACAAAGATAATGACTGTTAGCTGTTCATATATACATTCTAACATATAAAATATATATTAGCCTGCCTTTTTACATATGACTGCATTAATATTCATAACGAGTTAATATTTCTAAAGTACTTAAAATAGTGCTTCACACATAGTAACTGCTACATAAGCACTATAGGAGGACTTGTTCAATGAAAGAATTTTAAAAGCCAAAAATTATATACTATTTGATGTATGCCTACATTAATTTATTTAAGCCTCACAACAGGTCTTGGAGGTATGTCCTAGTTTTAGGAATTAAGAAACTGAGACTCAAAGATAAGGTGTCCAAGTCATATATCTGGTGCGTAGTTTTAGACGTCAGTGCATACAGATCCTTCTCGTTCTTGATAGCTGCCCGGGAGGTCAGCATCCATTTATTCAGTTCTTACAGATACAAATTTAAAACCTTTTGAACTCTACTATTTTTAACAACTTTATAATAAATAACCTTGTCCATACACCTGTGTAAATAATTCCTTTACATAAATAGAAGTTAAATTGAGATAAATATGCAAATGCAGGTTTAACTTTTTTATTTTTTAAGAGGTGTTTACTAGGCTATAAAAATTAAAAGAGCCAACCCACTGCCATCAAGTTTGATCCTGACTCATCACAACCCTAGGACAAAATAGAGCTGTCTGTTCGGGTTTCCTTACCATCAAACAGCGGAGCAACGGAGGAGAGCGGTTGTTGATCTTGCAATAAGTAGTATGTAGTCCCAGTATGCAGTCCCCTCCCCCACAGGACTCCTTTTCAGTAAACGACAGGCTATAGCAAATCATCAGAACATATGGAAGTGCTAGTTTCTTTACTTTTACATATTGAGAGTTGATGTACTTCTCATTCTTGAAGATTTGTCTTTCATCCGTTTTGGAAAGTTGTTAGTGATATTGCTCTTGATTATTGCTTCTTTCACATATCTTTTTATTCTCTCTTTAAATAACACTTCCTTTATCTTAAATTTGATTTCATCTTCTTTGTCTTTTCTGTACTCATTTTCTCTTTAGCTCTGTATAATGTAACATTAAATGAATTTGAATTTCAATAATATTTTCCATTTGTGGAAATTATATTCAGTTACTTATGAGGACTCTTTTTTTGCTTATATATTTTTCTTTTGACTAAATGCCTCTCTTTGAGTGGTCAGTTTAAGTATTTCATGAGTTCTATTGTCTGTGTAATATTGCTGTGGAATTGTTCGTAAGAAAGCTTTGGTAGTACAGAGGTGATGTTTGGGAACACGAGGTCAGCAGTTTGAAACCACCAGAAACCCCATGGAGAAAGATCAGCTTTCTATTCCCTTCTCAGTTACAGTCTTGGAAACTCACAGGGGAGTTCTGCCCTGTGCTATAGGACCGCCGTAAGCTGGAATTGATTCAAATGACAGTGTCATTGGTTATTTTGGTGTTTGCTTTGTTGACTGCATTTCTTGGGGTTTAAATCCTTTTGCATCTTGTGTCTGCTAACTCTCATTTTATACACGTTTCTTGGGCAGGCTAGATTTCTGAACTGTGAACTCATGCACAATGTGACCTTTCCTATCAAAAATCCTATGTGATTTGGGTAAATTTCCCTTCTGAACTTTTGTTAGTGTCAAATTTCTGGCCTGGGACCAATTCTTATGCTAAATTCTCCAGCTGAACGTTCCCAGATCCTGCTAGTAATGCGGATTCGATATGAAACCCTTGTGAAATATCATCTTTCTTATGTGCTGAGTTTTCATTCACAAGAAGACCTGCTTGTTTTCTCCCTCACAACTCGCTGTGCCAGTGGGTGAAATGTTCATGGTCAGCTTCCCTTCTGGGATTCTCAGCTGTA